GGGGTCTTAGTGGGGAGTGCTCCAATCAGCAATAATGTCCCTCTTCTGTCTGTAATGAGTTCACATGCTCGGGGATGACTTTTGAGGCAGTGTTTTAGTAACTCATCTGACTTATACTGGAATTAATTGGTTTTGTTTTGCGGCTTTGTGATTACTCCAGTGATCTTGCTACTGTTGTACTGGATTATTCTTCGGTTGATTGTTTCGCAAAAAATAAGTCTTTTTTTTTGCATATAGCTTTAGTAAATGTTCACCTTTTCATTGTTGTGCTCTTGAAAGACTTCATATTTGGACGTTAATTTTCGTCCGTAATAATCTTTTAACAGAAACACAAATGCAAAATTTTGGCTTTGAGGAAATGTGTGGAAGAGGAGACGCTTGCCATCTTTTTGCTTCGCACGCTTGTAGAGATGCGGTAAATCGTGTAAGAGAACATGGAATTCAACAAGAGGGTGCAAGAATTTCATCAATTCATTTTTTTTTGTTCTTAAAAAAGGAGGTTTTTGCAGTTTTTATGTTTACAGTTTAAAAGATGAAGCACAGACTGCTTTCCTCTGTATCAGGTATAATCACCTGAACTATGCTCTTAAAATTTCCACATTGTCATATATCTTTTTTTTGCAAATGCTTTCCAAAATTTAATCGGTGAGCCATCAGAACCAGTTTGGGAACTTTAAATTATGTTTTGAACGAATGAATGGTCCGGAATAATCTCCTTTTTTGTCCTATATACGGGATGTTCAGATCAGCTGTGATTTACAGTCTTATTGTTTAGATCACCTGTAATTTACAGTCCCTGGGAACTTAAGTGATGCCATATTTCGATCGAGTAGGTGCATACATGGAAAGAGTACCATTCCAAGCCGAAATTTTTTATTTCTAGGGAGGTAATTTGTTATCATCTCTCACAGAGCATGAGTAAGGGATGGGTTTTAATTTGTATTTGTCAAAATGTTAAATTACGGGGAATTTTTGTTGGTCAGAAGTGCGATGTTTACAGGCTTTGCATATATTTCTTGCTTTCTGAAATGGCAGCGGCTGCTGGAGATGGTATCGAGGTGGACGAAGATATGGAAATCGAACGCGCAGACCAAGGTTAATAGTTTTGAACAGAGCTGAAAATCAGCTGGCTTTTTTTCCCTTTTCGGAAGGATGCATAAGTTTCAATTCTTTTTACATCCACCATTATTCTTTCTGTTTCTATTTTTATAGTAATTTCATAACAATCAAATCATTAGTCTAAAAATCATTGAAATTTTCATTGGTCTATCATTAGTCTACCATTGAAATTCTCCTGAAAGAATATTTGGGAAAATTACGTAAAACTGGATCTGTTTCTTTCTCTGTCTCCTCTCCTTCCACCTTCTCGCCATCTTATTTTGATTCATGATCTGGTCCTCCAACTGTGCAGCTGATAACTTTTCCCGTTGCTTTAACCGGAACTGTATTCCTTGATGGTCATCAGTTTATCGGTGGGCATCCGAGTATTCTCCTGAAGCTTTTTCAAATCTTTAAACGTCTCATTCTACTCTTCAGACTTTAAAATCGTGCTGCTTTTCCATACTTTTTTTATATTTTTCTATTTGAAAATACTGGAATTATCTTAATTCCTCCTCCCTCTGCCCGATTCCTGAATTAAGCAGAATGCCGATGTTTTCAAATGCAAAATTTGGTTTTTCTTTTTTTTTGTTATTAGCATCAATTAATAGAGTCTCGCCTATGACGATGCCTTTGTTTCGGGCAGCACAGCAGTGCACTTCATGACTGTCCGCTCCGGGGCCGTCGCTGCACATATGGTTTCTCTCTGTTTGTGTTTCCTTTTCAAAAAATTTTTTTGGAATGTAAGAAATGGAACAAATATGTGGTTCTGCGGCGCGCTGCGTGCGTGGGCGAAAGAAGATTATCGGCATTTTTATGAGTTTTTTTTTTCTCGAACGCTTCCATCGAGCCTCTTCCTCGTTGTTGTTCTGCATTTGTATATTGTG